GAAGTGAATGATACAGCCTGCATAATTTTTGTCCCCTGGGAGGCAATTCTCCCAAGTTGTCACTAAGACACTCTTGGGCAGGTGGGACCCATTTCAAAAAAGGTGCAAGTTCCACGTGGAGACTAGGGCCCCAACTATACTTCATGTTTGTCCCACATCTGTGCAGTCACAAATGTGACACATGCCATGTGGGAAAATTAATTCCCAGGTGTGCAGGGCCTGATTTGCACTGGGACCATGGCCCCTGGGAGGGAGAGCTCATGCCAATTCCCTCATCTGAAACAGCCCAAGGGGTACTAGTTGCTCTACTAGGGATACTTACATACAGGCCATCAGCACACATGGAGCCCCGAATGGGGTAAATAGAATTTGGGGGGAGCATTTTAGGTTGGGAGAATGGTGTGGGAGGAAAACATGCATTCCATCTCCTTTCATGCGGTGTTCTCAGTCTGAATCAGGTCATGTGCTTGGAACTGAATTGGCAGCAGAGTGCTCTTGACAAACACATCTGACTCCAAGGACCTGGGGGAAAATGTGACATAGGATCCCTGTTTTGATTGGTCCAGTGAATTCTCTCTTCATTTTCCACTGTTTGCAAGTGAACCTTGTGCTTGTCTTATTGTAGGAACACCTTTCAATATTGTCTGTTTGCCAGAGCATTCTTACAAACCCTGTTCCACAACTCAAACTGTTTTCCTGTAGCCATTTACAAATGGGCATGTCACTCCATCATTCTTCCAGAAAAGGGTGGTCTTGGTTTAAGAACATAAGAGAAGCCAATGTTGGATCAGGCCAATGGCCCATCTAGTCCAACACTCTGCCACACAGTGGCCAAAAATACCAGGTGCCATCAGGAGGTCCACCAGTGGGGCCAGGTCACTAGAAGCTCTCCCACTGTTGACCCCCCTCAAGCACCAAGAGTACAGAGCATCACTTGCCTCGGAGTCCCTATCTATACCTTGTGGCTAATAGCCACAGATGGACCTCTGCTCCATATCCTTATTCTATAATAGCGAAGGCGCTCCCTGCGTGCAGATATCTAAATCCGCACATCGGGGGCACCTGGGGGGCAGGGAGATTTTCCTGCACACTTGGGGCAGTCCCCAGGTGTGCACAAAAATCTAAAAAGTTGAAAGAACCCCCCCCCAAATGTTAAAGAGTGTTTCCTGCGCATGCACAGGGAACACTCTAGGAACTCTGTGGTGGGCCGCCGGCTGGAAGCCACTCAGGCCTCACCGCCAGAGCCGAGGCGGGGGGAGAGGAGGAGATTGGTCACCAGAGCTGCCGGAGGGGGAGGGAAGGAGATCGGCGGGGGGGGAAGAAGCGGGGGGGGGGGGGATTGAAAG